GCCACCAGGCATTAATCTGGTCTTACATCTGTCATTAGAATTGGCAGCAGAAGAAACAAAGACTGCTGTGGGTTTTCTTCACTTTTGCCTAGAGACAGAACATAGGACTTCTGATACAGGCCCCCCCAGCTTTAGGAATGAAGGGAGTGAGAGCAGAGAAAGTGGTGCATTCCCTTCTGTCCTCTGCTGTCTCCTTCCTGCATTCTTGTTGGCAGGGGAAATGATGTAGCTGAGGGACCACCTTTAATACTATTTCCCTATTTACACCATGGTTTCTACTGTGAAATAAAATTTGTTTCCTGTCATTAGAACACTGCCCACCCAAGCCCTTAAAATTAAGGGCTTCTAACATAACACACATACACCCAACTGTGAAACCCAGCAAGAAGACTTCCTTAGGAGCAGCACCTCTATTCCTTTAAGCACAAGTAAAAGATATGGCCTGTCCCCTCTAATGGAGACAAGAAAGCTGCAACTCAGTGGCACACAAACCCAGGACAGCATCAGAGCTGACATTACATTTCACTTGATGCTGTTGGCCAGCCCACAGTCTGCTCTGTGGGCTCTTTCTTGGAGAAAGGAGAGCAGCTGGGACAGACTGACAGGCCTGCAGCATCACATCTTTACAACAGTGCACCTCATTGAAAATGAGCATTTCCTCACCTGTGAAGCACTTGCAGATATCTTCATGTGTCACATATGCTAATGTTCCCAAGGTTAAGGAGAAAGGCTGCAGCTTCCTGCACAGACAGAGAGCTCAAAGCACCTGGTGTTTCCTTCCTGAGCACAAGGAACACCATTCCCAGAAGGCTCTCCATGCCACACTCTGAAGTAGTCTGCAGGTGAGGTCTGCAAGCTCCATGCCTGTCAGAGCTGACATCCTGAGATAGTTAAGCCACAAGAGCTGCTCTGCACTCAAGAAAGTGGCACCTGTGACTCAGAAAGAAGCACTTTTTTCATTGTGGTAAACATTACTGTGTTTTTTACTTCCAAAAGCCAGAGGAGAAGCTGGATGCAGAGAAAAGCAGGTCTCCAGGCTGGACAGTTACCCTAATTCCAAACCAAGGTGCTGCCTTTTGACCCTTTCAGTGCAGCTTCTCCAGCAGCAACAAGTCAGCACCCACCAAGCCCTCAGGTCTCTGCTTCCCAGCCCAGCAAGTGAACATGGAGACAGAGCCATCACTTCACACAAAGGATATCGACTGTTCTGCATGTCTTCTGTAACATTTTTGATGCTCTGCTGAACCCACATCTTCTGCTGCTCCAGCTCCTGTTCCCGCTGCTCCAAGTCCTCAATGTCTGCCTTCAGCTCGATCAGTTTGTGAGCTATTTCACGGGTGTTGCAGCCAGGACCCACCCCCCTGGGTAAAGCAGAAATGGGTGAGATATATCAGCCTCCTGAGGCCCCCAGACCAACCCCAACCTCTCTGCCAGCCTCTTATTCCCATCTGTGTCAAACATCAATGCCAGATTGCCTGGGAAGCCATGTCTGTACCCACTCTAAATCCCCACCTCCCAGCACAGCTATGTTTGGTACATCTTTCTATTTCCCACAGTCTAGCAGGACTCTTCCCCACCCCCAGTGTCATGACAGGCATCTTTTCTAGACCAAGGCAGTGCAAATGTTTAGCTTGTACCAAAATAACACCTTTGCTGTAAGAGAGACACCATACATACTTCAGCTTTCCTCACTGTGCCATCAGCACAGCCCAGATGGGGGAGGCAAGAGCATGGACCACTGAGGAACCTCCCTCTGCACAGGGCATTTTAATCCCACTGTCACTTAAACCTGCACTAGAAGGGACCTGTGAATGATTTAGACCATCTCTGCCACTCACTTCCACTGGATACTGTTCTTGGACTTCTTCTCGATCAACCCGATGCCTTCCAGGACATTTGTGATATCGTAGATCCGTCGCTTCTGTCGCACAGCCAAGGTATCTGCAGCCTGAAAAAGGTTAAGACACTTAATTCCAAACTCTCAGTCATGTTTAGCTCCTTCCTGCCTGGCAGATTAACTCCTGGCCAAGTACTTTGCTCCCCATTTCATACCTCTTCTGTTCCAGCGTTTCAAGTTACACAGCCATGTTCCTGATCTCATATGACCATGAGAAGAAGTCACTCATTCTTCTTTTTTTCTTACCCCACAGCCTCCCCACTAAACACAAACCAAATTCCAGCACTCCTGCTTGCAGTGGATCCAAAAATCACCATTCTCCAGTAGCAAAGCAGTGCTAGAAAACAGTAGTTCAGCAGCCTAAAAATTCAGTGCTCCCTTGGGTAGAGATGGAGATTGGAAGGGGAATGCTGAGAGCTGTCTCTGCAACACTTCAGTGAAATCAACATTCACAAGGTCTTCTCTAAAGCTGATCTGATGCCACTTGACAAAGAATCAATATCTTTTCAAGAGACTCCTCTGTTTGAATGACATGATTCCAGGTGGAAAGTAAACATGAGCAAGCCTGGGGCTTCCCTGCCTTGCTCACATGACCCTTTTCCCCACAGGTTTCAGGACTCAAGGAATGGAACTGTTTCCACTACCACACAGCAACCTGGCACCAGCAAGAGTTAATGTGTGCACAGCCAGGACCAACAATGGCAGTGGCAGTGCAGACAGAGCAGGTCAGCACAGGAACCATGTCCCTGTCACCCACCAGTGAGGGGCCAGGACTTTGGATACCCTGCACCACACAACTACATAAATCACACTGACCAATATGAATTCCCTTAATGGACATTTGAAACACAATGATATTGTCAAATCCAATGAGAAAACAATTTGGCACAGGCATGGAGCCAGGAAACTCCTCCAGCCCTGCATTATTGGGGCTTTCTGGCACTTGTCTGTCTCACACACGTGCCCACATAAGAGATGATTATATAAACCACAGCAAAGGAACTTCCCCTACAGGAAAGGCCAGAGATTAAGTATTATACATTGCACTGTGTTACTTCCTCTAGGTGAAGATTTTAAAAATATAGAAGCAAGATGCATTCACACAGCACTTCTCCACTGCCTAAAGGAATGAGGGAAAACCTCTGGCAGGTGACTCTGACCACACTCTCCCTCCTGGTGTGTGCCGGGAGGGTTAAGTGCTGTATGGACAGTTTCTATAGGTATGTCTTTCTGTAGGTGTCTGAGGTTTTGGTGCCAGTCACCAAGTAAAGGGCAAGAACACAGAAGAGAACAAGGTGGTCAAATGGTTCTGCAACTGAAGCACACAAACACCTGCAATGTATGGCAAGGTCCTGGGGAAAGAAGAGTGCCCGGGACAACCCGATGGGGTGGGGAGAAGGGCTGGGAAGGAGGAGCAGGAGGAGCAGGAGGAGCCGGGAGGGCGGCCAATGAAGAGCCCTCTGTGCACGGCCGGCAGCTCTGCCGCACCCCCAGGTACCCCGCTTTCCGTGCACCTAGAAACGGCTAGAAAACCCTCCAGGATCATCGATCCCAGCCACTAAGCCCCACCACTGAACCATGTCCCTAAGCGCCACATCCACAAACCTTCTGACCAGGGACAGTGACTCCACCGCTGCCCTGAGCAGCCCATTCCACCAGTGCCTCACCACTCTTGCTGTGTAGAAATTTTCCTGTAATCCAATCTAAACCACCTGCTGCACCGGGCGCTGCCATGTCCCCGTTCTCCCCTTCCAAACCCGCTCCAGCCGCCGGAGCCCCGGTCCCGCCGGATCCCCTCTCTCCCGGCGGCCGCTTCCTCCGAGCCCAGCCCCTGGCCGGCGGAGCCCGAGCCCCTCGCCGCCTGCCCCCGCACCAGCTTGAGGTCGAGCACGCCGTCCTTGGCCTCCTGCAGCAGCGACACGAACTTGGTGGTCAGCAGCCCCAGGCTCTTCTCGTGCCGGCTGGGCGCGCCCGCAGCCCCGCTGCCACCCCCGGGGGGCTGCGCCCCGCACTCCGCCATCTGCCCGCCGCCGGCTCCGGGGCCGCGCATCCGCTTCCGGGCCGCGGGGCTCCCCGGGAACCTCCGGGGCGGGGACGGCGGCGGGGCGGGGACGGGGGACTCCCCCCCCCCCCCCGGCTCCCGGGGCTACGGAGCTGCTCCGCCTTGCTCCCGGTGTTCCGGAAGCCCCGTCGGTTTGGGGGAGTAAAGCCAGGGCTGCGTTCATCCCCTCTCCGTTCTGCGGTGCCAAAGTCAAACTCTCGCCCTGGGGTACCGAAGCCAAAGCTCAGCCATGTACCAGCTCTCACCGCCCCGCTGACAGGGGCGGTTTGCTGCTCCAGCACACCCAGTGCCGGGGGAATCCTCCAGCCTGTGCCCGGGGAAGGCAGCTTGTGGCAGGGACACATCTCCAGGTCCATCCGCAGCCATGGAGGTGCATCCCCACCTCCTCGCCTCCCGGTCAGGCTGGCACAGCGCATCCCTTCATGGTGGATCCGCCCTCGAGTGGGCTCGCACTGTGGGTGCGCCGGGGTCTGGACCTCGCAGTCCTCCCCGAGCCTGGGTGGGTGCGAGGGGGCAGCGCTGCGGGCACGGACAGGGCTGAGTGTCCGGAGAACAGGGGGGACCCGTTGAGGGGAGACAGGGTGTGATCTCCAGGACGAGAGGAAATGGCCTCAGGTTGAGTCAGGGGAGGGTTCGATTGACTATTAGGGGAAATTTCTTCCTTAAGAGGATGGTCAGGCACTGGAAAATGTTGCCTAGGGCGATGGTTGAAGTCACCATCCCTGCACACGTTAAAAAGGCGTGTGGATATGTCACTTAGGAACATGGTTTAGTGGTGGGCTTGGCAGTTACCGGTTGGTACTCGATGATTTTAGAGGGCTTTTCCGACCTGAATGATCCTTTGATTCCGTGACTCCTATTCCCCAGACCGCCGGCTGTCGCGGTGCCTTCCCGTGTCCCCCCTCCCCTCCGCCCCCCGTTCCTGACGTCCTGAGCGCGGCTGCGGGAACACAATGAGGCCCTGAGGAGCGCGGCTGCTCCGGCTGAGGAAACGGCAGCCGGCTTCCTCCGCAGCCCTGCCCTGGCCCCGCAGCTCCGCGCAGCCTGGACACCATGGGCATGTCTGCGGGGGACGAGCGCGCCGCCAGCCCCAGAGGTAACGGGGATGATGCTCCCCGGGGACCCGGCGAGCTGGGCAGGGAAGGGATGCTGCTGCTTGCAGCACATTTTGGGGATTCCCCTGCCCTTTGCCTCACCACCCACTCCACCCTCCTTTTCCCTGTGCCGGGGCCGGTGCCTTGTGTCCTTGCGGGGTGGCAGCCTGGCTGTGCTTCCTGATGGTGATACCTGCGCCGGGGCAGTGCTGCTCACCGCTCATCTTATCCTCAAAGCTGCTGTCCTCCTCCCTAATCCCCTGGTCCCCAAGCGGCTCCCCAGCAGGGCAGGAGCCTGGCTTGGCACTGGGGGACAGCCCCGCGGGGCTGCAGGGAGTGGCTGGGAATGGGATGGGGTGGGGGAATGATGAAACCAGGCACTGGGGACTGGGAATGGTGTGTGATAACTGTGCTGGTTCTCAGCCCTCCACTGTGGCCAGGAGCTCTTTGGCATGGCTCCAGACCCAGTGTCAAGGGGACACAGCTGCGTGGATGCTTTGGGGAGACCAGGAGACTCCAAACCTCACCTTAACCTGGCTGTCCTTCCTGCGAGAGCTGCAATCTCCCCATCCCTCCTGCTGACTCACTGCTGGAGTCTCAACCCTGCTGACAGCTTCCCAAGTGGCATCAGACCCCCTCAGACAACCCAGCATTGTGTTTGGGGGAGCAGCTGGGATGAGCACTTGGTCTGGGGTGCTCACAGCACCCCAGGGCAGCTTTGCTTCTTGCTGCCACAGCCGATGTGACAACCCCGGGCCGTGGTGGTGGCATCTTGGGGGCCCCTTGCAGAAGGACCCTCTTGGTGCCACGCTGCCCGGCTTCCCACATCCGTGTGTGCTTGGAAGTCCACTGGCAGTGAGCTTCCTGCCTCGGGCCTCAGGGGCCCTTCCTGCCCCTCTTGGTTGTGCTCACTGACCCCTGGCTTCATCCCCAGACGAGGAGTGGCCGGAAGCAGAGAAGGCTGAGAAGCTGGCGAGAGGAGCTGCTCTGAAATGGGCTTCAGGGGTGTTTTACCGCCCCGAGAAACTGGAGGGGCTCGGGCATTACCGGAGACGGGAGACGCAGAGGAACAACTCCATCCAGTCCCGTTTGAAGGTGTGTGCTTGCCCATCCCACGGACACTTGCAGCCACACCCCCTCCTCAGGCAGGGATCCCAGCCAGGGTTCCCTGTTGTGCCATGAACCCTCTGTATGTCCTCTTTTGGCTAAATCTTTTCCTTTGGCTGGCGTTTGGTGGGTGAAGTGCAATTGCCAGGGGGGGAAGCCCCCTTCACCCCCTGTCTTACCCCAAGCAGTGCCTGAAGTGTTAAAAGGAGTCTTCTGTGTCTCTGACAATCCTTCAAAATAAAACAGCAAGGGGGTTCAGCACATTCCATGTGCAGGACTCAGTGCACCCCATCACTGCCCTGTCCCAGCCCCAAAGGCTGCCCTGTCCCACAGCTGGGAGGAGGCACAGAGCTCCACCCTGTCCCTGCCTGTGGGTCTCCACAGGGAAAACTCTGTCTCTACATATTTCTAAGGGCTGTCCCAGTCCCCCTGCACTCCTGCCTCCTCACCCACATCCCCTTTTGCATGACCCAAGGAATTATTAACCTCAGGACTGAATCAGTCTGAGCACCACAACTTTATCCTGATAATTTTAGAGATGGTTTCTCCTATCCTGACTCTGGATGAATTGTCTGGGAGGCCTCAGTGAAAGCAACTTGCTTCTGGGAATTCTCGGCACCAGGAGCAGGGAATTAAATGAGTGGATAGGGCACAGAGATGTGCCAGTGCCACTGCCGGGCTGGAAACGATGGCACTCCATTTGGGAGGAGGGTTTATATGACCACTGAGGTCCTTCATGCCTTGGGAGCACATAGGGGCCCTGTGACCCACTGCTCCTTTGCAGAAACAAAGTAATCTTTTAAAACTGAGAGAGACATCTGATTACTGTTTATCCTGGACCTTGAGGGGCTGGGAGAGTGCCTGCAACACAGATTGTGCAGGGCTGGGGCAAATGGTGTGGAGTCCTCCTGCCTTCTGGAGCTGCTCCAGTGCCTTCCATCCTTTTCTGCTCCCCAGTCAACCGTCCAGTCCTACCTGGAGGGGGTGAGTGCAGGGCTGGAGCAGCTGCGGTCGGCGGCCCAGGAGGTGCAGGGCGTGTGCCAGGACCTGGGTGCTGCACGGTGGGCCCTGCTCGACAGTGCAGACCACTTCCAGGGCCTCCAGCAGATGAGGAAGCTGATGGAGGAGCATGTGCAGCTGGCCTCAGTGGTCCAGGTGCTGCCCCAGATCTTCTCGGGTAAGGCAGTGGCCCAGTCCTGGGTCCATTTGGGCTGGAAAGCACTGGGGGAAACCTCAGTCCAACCACGGGTTCCATGCAGGGCTGGTGGTAAAGCCTGAGCAGGTCACTCAGGCTTTGCCAGTTGGGTGAATGGAGATATCCCTGCTTCCTCAGGGCCTGATCCAGTGGTGTTCCCAGAGCCCCAGACCTTTCCCCTCACCATCTCCTTGATAATTTGCATCTATGTCCCCGGTGCAAACCCCTTCATCTCCACACTCAGTGCTGGCATCTCTCCTCCCTCTCCCACAGTCCACGAGGTTTTTTCCCATATCCTGCAGCTGCTCCATGGGCAGCGTCTCTTGGAGGCCCACGTGGAGCTCATGATGGTGGAGCAACTCCGGGATGACATCCTCTCCCAGCTGCACCTCCGTGGGCTCTCCGGTGCCCAGGCAACTGTGCTGTCCTACTTCAGTGGCCTGCAGGACCTCAACGAGAGCCTGGCCAAGCAGCTGTGGGACATTGTGGGCAGCAGCCTGCGGCTGGTGCGCGAGGACCCCGTTCTCTTTGTCACTGCTGTGAGGATCATCGAGAGGGAGGAGAAAATAGATGATGCTCTGCTCTTGGAGGCCACCTTCCTGCCCCCTGGCCGCCCAAAGGGCTGGAGGCAGAAGTTCTACCAGGTCCTCCAGGACACCATCACAGGAGGCCGTTTCCATGCTCCCCGCTTGGATGCTGAGGGGCCAGGGCTGGCCAAGCACCTGGCAGCGCTGCAGAAGGACATCGTGTCTGAGCTGCTTGTGGTGAAGGACCTGATGGTCCAGTGTGTCCCAGCTCACTACAACATCCTCAGCGTCTGCACTGCCACCTACCACCAGGCCCTCAGCAGCCACCTCCAGGAGATCCTGCGGGAGGACCTGGACAAACAGGGACTCTTCCTTCTCCTTGAGTGGGCGCTCCGTGTGTACCACAGGTCAGCACCAACCTGTGAGTGAGGGATGTTGTGGAGAGCTGGGTTGTTCACCAGCTCATGGATGGGTTGGGAGAGTGTCTCTGGCTGCCAGGGGATGATGACCAGAAGGGCAGAGGGACAGGTAGGAACTCCTGGAAAACAGGCCTTCCCAACCCTGCCCCACCTCTGCCCTCCAGCCCAGAGATGATGGCTCACCCTGACCTCCTCCCAGAAGTGGATGTTTCTGCTCTGGATCCCTTGATGTCCTCTGAGCTCGTGGATCAGACAGAGAGGAGATATGTGATGAAAGTCAAGGTGAGTGAGCAGGATGGGGACTCCCACTGAGCCAAGCATCTGCTCATCATGAGCCTGGGATGAGGCCCAGGACTCGCTGTGCTGGCTCTCAAGGGAGTCTGTACCTGGCTTCTTGGGCTGCCTGTGGCGGGTGTCCATCCTGCAGGCTAGCGTGTTCGAGTGGATGCAGAGAACCCTGGAGGTGGAGTTCAAGGAATGGTTCAGGGAAGAGGAACCTGAGACAGACCATGAGGGCTTCTTCCAGTCAGCCTTGCCTGCCATTGTCATGCAGGTGGGACCCCAAGAACATGGGTACAGATGGGGCATGGCCATGCTGAGACCTCCCAGAAAGGATTCCATGGCCTGCAGGCTCTCCCTGAATCACCTCCACTTTCCTCTGCAGATGCTGAATGAGAACATCCAGGTGGCTTCCTTGATCACCGACTCTCTGCAGCAGAAGATCTACAACATGGCCTTGGAGGAGCTTGAGGCATTCCTGGGCCGGTCAGTGGAGCCACTTACACCCCTGTCCACCCTCACACACCCTGGGGCCACGGCTAAGCATCACAGGTGGGGGTGGAGATCTGCTGTGGGGCACCCAGTGCTCATCCAAGTCACAGAAAGCTCAGCAGCCTCTGTACCCATGGGGCTGCTGTCTCAGCCTTTGGGGACATCAGCTCTCAGGGCCTGCTGCCCCAAATGTTTGTCAGCTGAGCCCTCCCAAGGGGATCCAGAATGGGTCCCACTGCCCCATCCTGCCCAACAACCTGTCACTCTCCAGCCTGGTTGCAGGATCTGAAAGGAGCCGAGTGAGCTGGGAGGGTTGTGGGAGGTCAGGTGTCCCCAGGAGCATCCCAGGGCCAGCTCCCCGTGGTGGCCGCCTGGGGCTCTGCCTGCCCGTCACGGCTGCCTCTGCCTCGCTGTGTTGCAGCCTGAGGGAAGCGCTGGTGCAGTGCGGGAAGGAGCACCAGCAGGACCGGGCCGTTCCCAAGTACTACATCTCCCACCTGCTGGCCGTGCTCAACAACAACCTGGCTCTCAGGTAACCTGCACCAGCACCTGGTAGCTCTTATAGTAACACCCGCCCCCATCTTCCCTGGGGCCAGTGTTCCTGCTATGCTTCCCAGGCGACCTGTGCCCTCTCTTCCCTCTCCTAGCAATTCTGTCTCCTCCCTGCACCCTGACACTGCCTGCAGAGAAGTGCCTGGATCCCTGCAGGCTGCTCTAGACAGGATGCAGAAGAAAGCTACCCAGTTGCTGCTGGAGGAACTGCTCCTGGACCTGCAGGTATGTTGGTCCAGCACCTGAGGCTGACAGGGCTGCAACAAAGCTGAACCCAGCACTAACAGCCCTACTGCAACTCGAGTTCATTCCTGCTCAGGGTCCCTGCCATTTACTCTATACCCTGCTATCACCCTGCAGACATCTCTGCCAGCCTGTCCCCCAGACCTTGATAAAGCACCCGATGTCTGTCACCAACAGCACCACTCCGTATCGCTGGGCAGATGGCTCATGGCCCCCAAATCACTAACGGACAGAGCCCAAGAGCCAAAGCCCCCCCGAGCTGCCTCATGCTCCTTCTGGCTGTTCCATGGCAGAAAACCAGCTGGAGAGCAGCAAAGTCTGTGTGGAGGATACAAATCCATGTGCAACTGCCTGAGTCGTTTCCTGCTAGTGTAGTCAAATTTAGCTTTCCTGGAGTCTGGACCAAAAACCTGGAATAATTAACAACATTACTATTTAGGGCTTGAATGCCATGAAAACAAAGGAAGAGCCAAAGGGTGAAGAGCTTGCAGGCAGCAGTGGCCCTAGCTGAGACAGAAGGATTGTGTGCCTGCAAGCAGGAAGACAGGCAAGGACAGCAGGGCAGGAGTAGGAAATCAAAAAACATGTTATGTCTACACAAGGGAAGTGGGGAGGAGTAGAAATTAAAAATAGGCAGGACAGGCCAAAAGCAGGTGTGTGAGGAGCAGAGCGCTGCCCATACCTCAGGTGTGCATCATGACCCCGATAAAGCCCCAAAAGGAGGCTCTCAGGGTGTCAGGGAGGGACAGCCCCAGTGTTTCCATAATTTCCTAACCTTAACCACTCTGCTGATTTTACACTGAGTTTTGGCTGGCAGCAGGGGCTCCGGGGCTTTGCAAGGCAAAGTGGCCGTGGTGCCAGGCAGCAGCTGTGGGTGTTGTGCTGCCCTGAGCTGGCAGCTCTGCGATAGTGCAGGGCACAGACGCTGCTCCTTGCTCCCTGCAGCCCCTCTGCCTGCAGCTGCCTTCCCGCAAGTGGCTCTCCGGGTCCCAGCTGGTCGGCAGCATGTGTGAAGTGATTGACAAGTATGCAAAGGACTTCTCCCGCGTCAGGAAACCTGTGTTCACGGTACCTCCTTGGAGCTGCTGCTTGTCTGTGGGACAGGGAGGCTGGGCAGTGGGCACCCTGCTGGGGTGCAGGATGCTGGGGATGCAGGAGTCTGTGTCCTCTGGAGCAGTGCAGAGAGCACCGCCACATGGAGATGTTCAGGGCTTCCCCCAAATCCTGTTTTCTCTGTCCCTTCGGTCAGGGGGCTCCCCCGAGATTATTCCCACGGCTTGGTGTTGTATCAGCCGCCCTTTTTGCCTCCCCAGACCCTGGGGAGCTGGGTCTGGACACTCAGGCAATGCCAGCACTAACAGCTGTCCCCTGCCCAGCTCCTGCTGGCCGAGAGTGAGCTCCTGGTGGCGAACCAGTACCTGCGGGCCCTGCTGCAGAGGAAGATGGTGTGCAAGAGCCGGGAGGAGCGGGGCCAGCTGTGCCACCGCCTGCTGCAGGACGCCTCGCAGCTCCGGGAGCTCTTCTGTGGCCTGGTGAGAGAAGCCTGGCTGTGGTGGGGAGCCGGGGCTGCACCACGGAAAGGGAGCATCACCTCACCCTCCTGCTGCCCTCCAGCCCACAGCCCATGAGCAAATGGGGCTGTCACACTTGGGTGGTTGTGAGGCCAATATGGGAGGAACTGGCTGGATTAGGGACTCTGGGGACCATCACCCTGCCCAGCAGCCCCTGATGGGTGGGGCATGTTCAGTGGGAAGACACCAGCTGCAGGGGCTCAGGTCCCCACGCGGGCACTGAGGATGCAGCTGTCTCCCCAGCCACTGCAGTGACATCCTCTGGGTTTCACACCTGGCTGCTTTCCCTCCCAGGGCCTGGACCGGGGCCAGCAGAGCCTGGAGGCTGTTTTTGCCCTGCGGGAGCTGATCTGCCTCAAAGACCCAGCATTACTCAGCCTGGAGGTGCTGGGCTTCATCACCAAGTACCCCGATGTCAGGTAAGGTACTCCCTGCAGGAGGGGATGGGTGTGAGCCTGCCCAGGAGAGCCAGTCTTGGCCTGCACCCTCTGAGGTGACAGAGCAGAGCAGGCAGAAACCTGAGCCTTTACCCCTTTCTCCCTGAGGTTTTCTTTTCCCATGTTCCAGATTGGAGGGGTTCTTGAAAAGTCCCAAGGGCAAAGGTGTACAGAAAACAGCAGTTCTGCTGTGGCATTTGCACATCTGTATTTAGTAGCCAAACAAACCATGAAAAGTAACAAAACACCAAATTGGAAATGTCAAAACCAAATTAAAAAGGTTGGGAGGGATTGTTTTCAAGAAAATGCTACCTGGCCTGGTACAAAGTACCAGTTTTCCCCTGGCTTTGGTTTCTGTGGATGGGGGGAGGTTTGCAGGACACGAGCAGTGCTCGGGCTCACCCCTGGCTCTCTGCCCAGCGATGAGCACATCTCCACCTTGCTGGACATCCGCGGGGACGTCTCCAAGGAAGTGCGGCACGTGGTGCTGGAGATGATGGCTCAGCACCCCCAGGCTCTGCCCGAGGGCTACCGGCCCATCTTCAGCACCATCCTGGTCCCTGTGCCCGAGCTGCCCTTCTGCCTTCGCAAGGGCAAGTGTGCCTGACCCTGCCTGGCACTGGTGCCCTGCTGGCCCAGCTAGGGGCTGTGCAGGGTGAGAACAGGTGACACGTGGCATCCCCTACACACGGCACCTCATCCTGTGTTGGGGACAGTCTGGATAAAGGCCATTCTCCTCTGGTCTTGCTCCATGAGAAGACTGTCCCCTACAAGCACCAGTCCTGGGATATCTGGACTGGGGGAAATCCAACCTGTAGCTGTTTTGGTGGCCTGCTGGGACAGTGACTGAGGGCTGCTCAGGCCCATTGCCCGCAGGAGAAAGAAGAGTTGCAGAATGGACAGGAATCTGCAGCTGGGACAAATTCGCATCTCTATGGGGCTGCAGAGATGTTTGGGTTTTCCCAAGTCTCCAGACAGCCCCCTGAACCAGTGTGTGTCCCAGCCAGCTCTAAGTTTCTATGCTATTTCTAAGGCCTGCTTTCCCAGCTCTCCCAAAACCCTCTGATTTTAAGGATTCTCACACTACCCATGAAGGCTGTCACCATTCCAAGTCTGATGCAGACTGGAGCCTTGCTGGGACCAGGCTGGCAGGAGAGTTTCAGCCATGGGAGGTACCCTGGGCTCAGCCCTGGGGTTGGGTGCTGCTGCTCCACCTGGCTGGGTCCTGCATGGCCAGTGGGGAGCAGCTGAGCCAGCTCGTCATGGCTCAGAGATGCTGAGGAGAAGAGCACAAGGTGGTCTCCCCATCCTGGACAGTGCCATCAGCCCTATCCCTGCTGGCACAAAGGGACAGCTCTGAGTTCCTGCTGACCTGCCAGACCCCTGGCTCTGGCTCATTTGCCAGGAGGAAGACTGGAGTTGGAGGCTCCCAAACTGCATGGAGAGCCTGGTTGTGCCTGGTGTGTTGTCCTGCTCCAAGGTTCCTCCGTGATGGGCAGCACCACCCTGAGCACTGGCTCTTCCTCCCTCCTGTGCTGCTGCCCAGGCCTTGGCATCTCCTCCAGGTGCCATATGAAGATCAGGAGCAGTCTGTGTCTCTCCCTACACCCTTTGCCCAGCCCCTGCAGCGCCCTTGGAGACCTCCATGCTCTGCCACGCTTCCCACCCTGGGATGGGCCACATCCCACTGTCCTTGCATGGTACCACTGCTGGAAATAAAGGCCTAAGCTCTGCACTTGTTCCTATGTCCAGGCTCCGCTCCCGGGAGGGTTGGGGTATGTGGGTGGCACAGAGAGGGAGGGATCCATCCCCATGTTCAGCATCACCCCAGACCTGGCTCCCTGCACCCTGTGCCAGCCCAGGAGATCGCCCAGGACACGGGGGATGATGCAGACACTACATATCCCACTATCCAGGACAGAGGGGGCTGATGTTCCCCAGCCCTGGGTCAGGTGGCTGCAGTGCTGGGGGGATGCTCAGTGAAGGGCTCGACCTCAGCTTGGGGAGGTGCCCACTGTCCTCCCTGGGGCTCATGGTGTGCTTGCCCAGCTGGCCACACTCCCACCTGCCTGGGAAGGTGTCTGCTCTCCCCACCTGCCCCCACTGGCTATGGGACTTGCTCACCTGCACCACAGACATGGTTCAAAGTGTTCAACCCTGAGCCCTGGGAACATCCAGGTGGGCCCAGGCCAGGACTTCATGGCCATGTGGAAAAACAGCTCTAGTCCCAATAGATCTGAAAAAAGTCTGAGCATGGGATGACCTCCCACCACAGGAACTGGTGCCCATGCCAGCATGTCCAACCTCACTGCTACCCCAGCTGTGTGCCCACAACCAGCCTCTTGTGCCCTCCAGCACAGCCCTGTGGTGCTTCCTGCTCCAGCTCCACAGCCTGCAGTCAGAACTAACACAACCCACGACAGCAAAAGCCCAAGCCCCCCAGGTGTCTTTTGACAGTACCTTCCCACGTCCCTCTTTGTGTGTGTGCCAGGCTTGGCCCGTCACTGCTGCCCACACATATCACAAGGCCACAGGGGGACCTTAACCTGGTCACCTATGAGCCACGTGGCTCCCTGGCTGCTATAAAGCTCGTGGTGCCCAGGGGTTCAGACTATCTCCTTTCAGGATGGCATTCCTGTGGGTGGTTGCCTGCCTGGCCCTTGCCAGCACCGTCTCAGGTAAGTGCTGCCCATGGGTGTGGGAAGGTCCTCAGGGTGTAGCAGGATGCCAAGGAGGGTGACACAGCCACCCACAGCAGCACAGGCAACCCCCAGATATGAGTCCTGAGCTTTTGGGTCACCCTTGTCCCCTGTGCCTCTCCTGCAGGCTGCGGGGTGCCTGCCATCAGTCCCTCGGTGGCCTACAGCGAGAGGATTGTCAATGGGCAGAACGCTGTGCCCGGCTCATGGCCCTGGCAGGTGTCCCTGCAGGTACAGCACTGTCCCCCTCCCTGGGAACTGCCCTAAGCACTGGCATGGCCAGCTGGCTGCCAGGGAACCTCTGCCTGTCCTCAGCTTGGGAGTGTTCAGCCCACCCAGCCCCAGCTCCTCTCCTCTCTTCCCTCCCCAGACCACCACAGGATCCCACTTCTGCGGCGGCTCCTTGATCAACCAGTACTGGGTCGTCACAGCTGCCCACTGCAACTTCAAGTAAGGAGCGATGCCCAGCCAGCCCACACCAGTGCTGCTGGCAGGGCCAGGGGCTCAGAGCATCCTGGGCATCTCTGAGTGGCACTTGGGTCAGCCCCAAAGGCCTGAGCAGCCCAGGGCTTCCTCCCCAGTTGTCCCCATAGTGGCTGCCCCAGTGCTGCTCCCACCCTGGGTCCTGGCTGGACACTGCCCATGACTCCCTCTTACCTCTCACAGCCCACGTGCCCACGTTGTTGTCCTGGGGGAATACAGCCTTGCTTCCAACAGCGAGCCCGTCCAAGTGAAGACCGTGTCCAGGGTGAGCCAGGCGGGTCCTGGGACGGGGCTGCAGCTCCACGCCGTGGCTGCTCCCACGGGGCAGCCATGAAGGGCTGTGCTGTTTCTCTCTCTGCAGGCCATCACCAACCCCGGCTGGAACCCCAACACCATGAACAATGACATCACCCTGCTGAGGCTGTCCACACCCGCCCAGCTGGGGTCCCGTGTGTCCACCGTCTGCCTGGCCCCTGCCAACCTGGTTCTGCCCTCCAACGCCCGGGCTGTCACCACCGGCTGGGGACGCACCAACCCCAACTGTACGTAAGCTGCAGCCTCAGGGAGGCCTGTGTGTAGCTGCTCTTCTTCCTCGGGGCTCTGAGGGTCCAGGGGTGCCTGTGGGGGTGACATCTCCTGTAAATGTGAGAAGGGGGAGAGATGGGCAGTGGAGTAGCCCTGTCTGAGCGTGTACCAGTGTGCACGCAGGTGCAGGTGTGTGTGTAACCCAGGGATGGCTGTGCACAGGCACAAGCCTGCCCTTTCTCTGGGCTTCCTGCACGAGGTGATCCTGGGGAAGAAGTGGTTTGCTGGTACGGAGGAGGAAGGTGCTTTGTATGGTACCACCCAGGCACCAGTGAAAGCTTGCCCAGGGCAGCTGTGTGCACTCCAGGAGACCCACAGACACTGAGGTGATCTAATGGTGCTTCTTTCCTCTAGCCCAAGCCTTGGCAACAGTCCTGCAGCAGGTGACCGTGCCCCTGATCTCCCAGAGCCAGTGCATGCAGTACTGGGGCAGTCGCATCACCAGCGCCATGATCTGTGCCGGTGGGGCTGGTGCCACCTCCTGCCAGGTAAGGAGCCAAGCTCCTGCTGCACAGGGTGGGTGGAGGAGGAGGAGGATATGAGGGGTCTTGCTGAGCTCCCACCACATCACAGGGAGGAGCAGGGTACATGGGGTCTTCCACTTATGGAGCCAGATATTTAAGCCCCAACACCTGGCTGTACGTAGGGGTTCAGGTGGCTGGGGTGGCAGGGACCAGTTTGGAGCATGTGCCAGGAGCACTAAGCAGCAATCTTCTCCACAGGGTGACTCTGGTGGACCTCTGGTGTACCAGACTGGGAATGGCTGGACCTTGATTGGCATTGTCTCCTGGGGAACCTCCAACTGCAACATCAACACGCCGGCCATGTACACTCGTGTCAGCCAGTTCCGTAACTGGATCGATGCCGTTGTTGCTCAGGGGTAAAGCTGCTGCCAGCCTGATCCCTTCACTGGGATTAATAAAGCAATAAAGTACCAGCTTTTGCTTGTGCCAAGCACTGTCTCTGGCTTCTTTCTTCTCATGATGCAGAGTGGGGTGGAAGATACGTGGAGGAGCCTGGGGCACCGCATGCTTCTCTCCTTCCCAGAGCTGGAGCTCGGCGCCCAGCTGGGATCCAACTGCCAAACTGGGACAGGATGCTCAGGAAGAGGGGGAGCAGGGCCGGCTGGGGCTCAAGGGCTGCTCAGGGGGTCTTCAAGCACACCCTGGCACCAACCCAGGCAGCGCTGAAGGTTGGGAGAATGGCCTCTCACTCACCCAGGTGGGAGATGCCACCAGGAAGGGAGTGTGGAGCTGCTGCTCAGCACCAGAAAGGATTGCCCAGCTTGCAGTGGGAGGTGGGTGTTGGTGGGGGCACAGCATCCTAAAGGATCCCTGCCTGCAGTTTAGAGCCATGACTCGTGTAGCAGCTGAGAACACAGCTGAAAGGGAAAAGTGCCATGGGCAGCTCCAATTCCTGGAGAAGGTGGAAGGGGATGGCTGGAGAACAGCACGCTGCTTCACCCCTGCAGATCTGCCAGGTAACACCAGGAAACTAAAGGCCATTGCAAAGGAAAATTTGAAGCTGAAAACAAATTTCAAGGCCAGGTGACAGGCTTTCACCCAAATGGGTTCTTGAGACAGTGGCTGGTGGGAAAAAAAGTCTTGTGTGACACAGAAGTAGCAAGACACATGCTCAATGAATTACAATCTGGTTCCCAGCAGCTCCAAATAGAGCTGGTGATAAGGCACCGTGGAGAGAAGCAGGATCAGACTGTCCCAACATGAGCTGTGGGGTTTAGTTTTCCTTACCAGGGATGTGAAGGTGATACAACACCTTTGCTGTGTGAATTGTAATCACTCAATTAGGCAGAGTGTGACATTACACAGGGACACACTGATGGGAGGGATATGGAACATCAATGGAGAGCAAATACAAACAGTCTGGCCCATATGATTGAGTTAAAATAAATACAAATCTGCTCAAGTAAAGCCTAGGGCTAACAAATTTTAGTGGTCAGTAAGAGTTAGAGTTTTTTAGTGGTTTGCCCCGCAGGGAGCATCTAACTGACCTTAAGGGCAAGTGAAGAGAGATGTGGGGATGGACCATGCAGGCAGAGAGAACTGGAGCTATAGGGAACTTCAAACAGGAATGACCAACTGCAGCACTATGGGTCATCTGGTCTGAGTGCTGAGCTCTCTGTCAGCTCTGCCACCACTGGGATGGGGTCCCCTGTCCCTGGAAAATCCTGGAGAGGAGGTGTCTCAAGAGGGGTGTGCATTGTTCACTCAATATTACAGGTTTTCCTGTTGGTCCATAAAAGCTGCTCAGAGTAAAACTGGAGAGGTGATGAGTGGCTGTGGATAAACCAGAGCATTCCTCTGGCCCAGTCTACCACCTTGCAGCCAATGAAAAATAAACAGAATATCCCAAAGTGCCTGTTCAGCCTCCCAACTGCACCTTCCAGCAACAGGCTGAGTGCCTGCCTCATCCAGGGCACTCCACGGACATCCCAGCTCTGCACAAGGTCTCCCTTGGGCAGCTCCTGGCCTGGCAACTGCATTACAGAAACCAGCAAAATCTGATGGGCACTTTGGTACTTGTTGCTGTGATCTATGAATGTAACAGAGGGGTGAGCACCTCCTGGGTCTCCATAGACTTACTGACCATTATTCCCAGCCTGGAAATCAGGCCTGGAATTTCCTTCCAGCAGCCAGACTGCAGGTGATCCACCAGGCACAAGTAAGGACAGCAGAGCCGTGGGGTACACAGAATACATGGACATGTTTTAGCAGAACGAGTACAACAAATAAATAATTCTGTACACTCTAACTTGAACATTACAGACTAATTACAATGGGTCCCACCTCATGTGACAGGACAGTCCTTAGAGTAAAGCCAGGACTCGAAAGGCAAGGCACTGAACAGGACACTGGATGTGACACAGACCGACTGGATGAGACCGGAGTCGCTTCCAAACCGTTCCAACCCAGCAGCGGAAACCAGGCAACCAAAAATAACAGCAAGAGCCGGAAGATGTCGGATCCCAAGGGCTTCCTGGGAGGTCCTTCCGTAGGGAAAGGCAACAGGAAAGCTCAGGGCATCGGGGCGTCTGTGCAGGAGCTGCTGCTTCGTAACACACCTCACTGTTCCAGGAATCCATTCCACATTCAGCAAACAAACAGTGCAGTGACCTCTGCAACAGCAGCCAGAGCTCACCCATCACACATCTGCAGCATCACCAGGCAGGGGGGGACAGTGGGAGAAGGACAATTGTCACAGGCAGAGCTCCTGCTGCCCCTGGCACAGCGAGGGTGGAAGGCACTGAGCTCTGTGATGCCGCTCACCACAGCACGTCCCTGGTGTTCACATTTGTTTCTTTGGGAAGTTTCCTGCACAGTAAGGCACAGATGACATGCAGGCACCTGCCATGGAGTGCTGCACTCTTAATCCAGGGTGAGAGAGGAGACTGAGTGGTCAAAAAAAGCACCAAAACCCTCCCAAGAGTGGCGAAGGCAATTTGGGACTGGGTTCATGCAGAGTGGTACAGGCACTTTGTGACACTTTCCAGGAGAAAGCTGAGTGGGTGAGAGGCCTGGACAACCCAACCTCCCTGCAAATTCTAGGGCTCACACTGGTGCCAAAGAAGCCAATGTCTGTGTTGCTTTGCATCATTTAGAAAACTAAATTAAGTCAAACAATTGAGATTTGTTTTATCCCACTTCAAACCCCCCAAATCTTCAGTATCATTACTTAAACCAATATAGCCCCACACAGCCTAATAAGAAGCCTGTAACAGCCACATAGTAGTTGCCCTATGTGGTACAAGACTGAGCTGAGCCTGCACTGCAGGTCCTCAAAGGCACCATATGGAAGCTTCTACCCTGCCCCTGGACTTGCCACAGCTCCTGCAGAGCCAAACCCAGAGCTGCTGCCCAGCAGCCAGTGACCCATCATTGCTATTCCAGTTTGTGCACCAGATAAAAGCTGACTCTCTTAGTACTGCAGCCAAACACCTGGGTAGAAAACAGGACTGAGAAATAGGGCAGGGCCTCAGAAATAGTGTAAATTAGCAGAACAGAAACTATCTCACCTAAAAGAGGAAAATACCCAGATTCCAAAGAAGAGTGTGAGGGTTTATCACATCCAGAACAAACACGTCAAGCAGGCCCTACACTGCAGCTGGTATCCATATCACTACCAAAGCCAGCAAGTCTGAGCCCAAGCTCCTCACAAGGCTCTCAAGCTCTCCTCCACGTACAGCTGTGTGCTTCCAAGAACAACACAGGGCAGGAGCATCTGGATGCTATCACAACTGCAGTGTTAAACAGCACAGATTTCTTCAGGGTTGAAGGAAGGGTGGTTTCTACCCCACTGGGTTGATGTGTAAGGATTTTTAGAAGCCTGAGTGAGAAGTAAATAAAAATGGACTGATAATTGCTGTTTTAGGAAAATACACTACACACTCAAAATCCTGGATGCAAGTCTTTAGACCCCCTAATGCAATTTCTGGAAGACTTTTTCACATTCTTTTCCAGTAACCCTTGACAAAAATAATAAAAATCAAGGAACCAAAAAGCCACATTCTTTGAAGCTGTCATTCTCTCCCTCAAGAGAGCAGCCAAACTCCCAGGACAAAAGGATGGGATTGTTTTACACAGTACTGCTAAGTTCCAAAAGACAAACCACCCTAATTCTCTTTACTCCTCAAAGAGCAGCGAGGAGAGGGCTGTGCTTGGACAAGGACACACCACAATTTGCCACTAGGTGTCATTCCAACTCCACCTCCCCTGCGTGAGCCAGAGCAGGAAAAACAGAAACACTCAGATTTGTGGTGGTCTGGAACAGGCAGGTGTTACTTCTGTCCTCCCTGCACATTCAGGAGGGAAGTTTCCCAAAAAAACTCCCTGCGAGCCAAATTAAGAGCCACCATTGAGAGTCAAAGAAGGACATTAAAAAAATTAAATGAAAGAGCAGAAAAAACCATTTCAGAGAGATTTTAGTTTCTAAAATCCCCAAAAAAGGCACTCCTGAAAAGTATAAACTCCTGAGACTTAAGACCAACTGAGCACTGAGCTGCTCCTGTGGAGTAAAGACAGATGATCAAGGTAATTCACAGTGAAGAGCTTCTTAGAGGACAGATTGAAGGCACCTGGACTATGGCTCAGAATTACAGCACTTTGCCTGTGCCCCTCCACACCAGACCCAACTGAAAACGTGTCCCATTTGCAAGAATAAAAGCACCTGAGGAATTATTCTTAAGCTGGACCTTCCAACGTGGCATTTGGATCATCACAGTTTTCCAGACTGAGGGAAAGATCACTGAGGACTCCAGGGTCACTTGGACAGAGCTCTCCTCATCTCCCCTCTGGCCACACATTATTGTCTACCTGCAAAGTTCCTGCGAATATTGGATTTAGAAACAAAAGAGGAAGTGAGCCAAGAGTGTTAAAATTGAACTATGGAAGGAAAGCCTGTAAAGATTTTCCCAAGTTTACACTGATTTTTCCATGCAAACAAGAAAGAACTCTAATTATTCTCACAAATGCAAGGTTATTTTCAGCCAAAAAAAGAAACATGCAAACAAGAAAACCTTGCATTTGTGAGAAGAATTAGAGTTCTATTTTCAACCAAAAGCCAAAGCTCTTTATGGGATGGCCTTGGTTCTCTTCCCACAGTTCCCAAGCAGTGGAGTGCCCTAGGACTGCACCTCAATACCACAGAGAGGCAAATCCAGCATTCCCAGCTGTGTGATGGATCATCCTCCCTTCTGCCAATTCACCCCTAGTCACAGAGCACCACCACCAAATCCTGGCACTGTCAGGAACCTCCTGCTTCTCAAAACATATTCCAGCCCAAAGTAACCACAAACGATCACTCCAAACTTCCCCTGGTGAAAAAACAGTTATGGAAAAGATCAGTGAAGCAAAAATTGTCAAAGATGAGAAGGTTCTTGTTCTGCTTTGTGAAGGTGGAGAAACAAGCCTGGTTAGCCCAGAGCTTTATGCATTCCTCATCCCATAAGAGAA